TTTAATATGACACAATGGAGAAAAATGATTCATGTAGCCGACCACACGTAGTGGGATAAAGGCTTGATGTTGTTGTTGTTGTTGTTTTTTACTTAACAGAGGTCAACAAACCCTAGTAAGATTGTATCACCTTCACTTGTTTAACATCTTTTTAGTCTTCAAAACAATACTAAAAAGTTTAGTAAGCCAAAAAATTCATTGATATTCTAAGCACTTTCACATTCTTATTAGAATATCATCATGTTGTACTGCTATTCCACACTTTATTTTCTTTAAAACGTCTCCAACTTATATTTTACTAATACAACGCAAAAAAATATCTACTTTCATTTAGGGTGCTAAGGTTACTAAAGTCAATCATTTTCTCATAACTTTCATTGAAATTATCCATAGATAGGAAAATTATCCAATTATGACTCTTAGAAAGCCTCAAACCACTCGATTTGAGTTGAACAAACCATCTTAAAAGAACATGCTTAGAAGGTGACGGTGAATGGGGTAACTTCCTTGAAAGCTATCACTAAGAATCATGGGCTAGCTTCATCTGATAGCACCAACCGACACTCTTTATCGTGTAGTTTGCTCCAACAATTTTTTTTATTTCTTGGGGTTGATACACCATCCACAAACCAACTATTCATAATTGGTTTGCATCAATGGCAACTATTAAAGGGATAAATATTTTGATATTAATATGGTGAGGTATCAACATCACATTCTTGTGGTTTAAAAAATTATTTCATAATTTCAATCATCGATAGTTCGTTGTCACCTCTTATGGACTCATGGAATTGAGATCTATAAGATGGTACATTTGGTTTATCAATATAAGATATACCTTATGATGTTAATAACCATCATATCACTATTAGCCACCCAATTTAGGTTCGATCATAATAAGTTGGTCGGGTAAACCCAAAGCAGTGTCATTCAACCATACTTCAATCATGGAGGCTGTGATATAAATTGTTCGGTGTTGATAACTTTGGGGAATACTTCTACCTACTCAAAATATAAAAAATTGATATATTTTGAGTTGTAGGATTATTTTCGATTCCGAGATACCTCGAAGCTTGGGGGAAATCCTAAGAGGTGGTTGTCGTAAAAGAAATGCATGATTTTTTTTTTTTTGGTGGAATCTGGAGCGAGAAGGAATCCCACAAGTGATAGTCACAAAGGAGCTGTTGGATTTTCCAATCATAGGAGAGCCCATAACCAGGGGAAATCTTATATGTGAGATAAATGAAAAAATTCCAAAGAAGATTACACAAATATATGTGAGGCAAACACTTGATATATACACAAATGCATCGATTTCACTCTTATTGATATGGTTTCAATTACAAAAGGCATTGTTCTTCTAATTATGAGGATAATAGGATCTAACCAATAGATTAAACATGGTTTTATATAACCACTAGCCCGCAAATAGTAACAACAACAATATTATCATCAAACCTTTGTCCCACTATGTGGGGTCGGCTACATGAACCATTTTTTCTCCATTATGTCATGTTAAAAGTCAAATTCTCGTTTAAATCTAATAAAGAAATATCATTTCTAATATTTTCTAACCAATTATTTTTAGGACTACCTCTACCTTTCTTAACATAAGTCAAATTTAATACATCTACTTTTCTAACCAGGTCATCAGAAGACCGCCATTTTATGTGACCAAACCATCTAAGATGACTCTCTCTAATCATAACCCGCATATAGTAAGAGAAAGCTAAAATGAAAAAATGAAAAAAAAAATCCAAAAGTTAATCACCAAAGTAAAACATGTCATTATAGGATCAACACTTAAAAAGATTTGCAAATGCACCAATTTCACTCTTTTTTATAGTACGAGGATATTGTCCTTATAACATAAATATCTCTTTCAAGACTTGTCACAACTTGAAGTGTACTATAGTCATCTCCATCAAGACATATATCGCTGCCTTGATTATGTCATAACTAACTTCGCCTTCATACTTGTGTCATAGTCATCATCTTCAAAACCTTATGTCATAACTCAATTTGTGTCACAATCATCTATTTCAAGACATGTGCCACAATATCAATTACATCACATCTCCTTCAAGAATTACACTAACTTTTTTTTTTTTAATTACACTATAACCTCACTTGCAAAGTAGTCATCTCCTTCAAGACATACGCCACAATCTTGTATGTCGTAGACATTTCCTTCTAAATCTAACCAAATGTTTTTCAATCAAAATTGTGAGTGGCCACAATCATCTGATTTCCCAATCTTACAATTCAAAATTTACCTAATTTCCACTCAAAACATAATTTCTAGAGAAAATGTGATTATAAGTTCTTTGGTTACTTACCTCCATCAAAGTAGATCCTTATAAACTAGCCCAACCTAAAAGCCTAAGCGTAAGATAAATAAATAAAACAATCCAAAGAAGATAAATATATGTACGATAAACACTTAATATATTCACAAATACATTGATTTCACTCTAGTTGATATGGTTTCAATTACGAAAGATATTGTCCTTCTAAATATGAGGATATTAGATTATTAGGATATAACCAATAGATTAACCATGACATTTATATAATTACTAACCTGCATATAATAAGAGAAAGCTTAAATAAAAAAAATATTCCAAAAGTCGAGTACCAGGGTTGAAAATATGTCATTCAGAGATCAACACTTAATAGATTTGTGAATGCATCAATTTCACTCTCTTTTTATAAAGTTTCAATTACAAAATATTGCCTTTTAAATATGAGGATATGATCCTTATAACCTAAATATCTCTTTCAAGACTTATGCCACAATATTACTTGCAAGCAGACAGAAGCCAACTTTGCATCCATACTTGTGTCACAACTTGCTTCTGCCATAGTCACCACCTTCAAAACATGTGTCAAAACCCTGTTTTTGTCACAGTCATCTATTTCAAGACATGCACTATAATCTCACTTGTGTAGTAGTCATCTCCTTCAAGACCTGTGCCACAATCTTGCTTATGTCGTAGACATCTCTTTCTAAATATAACCCACAGATTTTCAATCAAGATTGTGGGTGGATACGGTCAACTAATTTCCTAATCTTACAATTCAAAACTTTGTCTAGTTTCCCCCAAAAAAATAATTTCTAGAAAAAAATGTGATTAAAGGTTCTTTGGTTACTTGCCCCCATTATAGCATATCCTTATAACCAAGCCCAACCTAAAAGCCTGCACATAATAAGATAAATTTAAAAAAAAAAAAAAATCGAAAGATAAAATATATGTGAGATTAGTAAATATCTTACAAAAGGTTTCCATAGTAAAATATATGTGAGATAAACAATTAATATATTCACAAATGCATCTATTTCACTCGTTGATATGGCTTCAGTTACAAAAGGCATTGTCCTTCTAAATATGAGGATATTAGGATATAACCAATAGATTAATCATCATATTTATATAACCACTAACTCGCAACACGTAATAGATTTGCGAATGCATCAATTCCACTCCTTTTTTATAGAGTTACAATTGTCCTTTAAATACGAGGATATTAGATTAACCAAAAGATCAATCCAAAAAGTAAATGAATCTTAGCTAGTGGTCAACTTCAGGAATCTCCAACAAATACATCTTACAAGCCCATCAAAATTAATCCAGCACAATCCCACAAGAAAGGGCGCTACACCCATGAACAGCTGTAGTTAGCATCAAGCATTTTAGTATTTTACGTACTACAAATGCTCGCTCCCTACGTCCCAACTTTCACATATTGATTATGGTTGCAGCAGTAAGAATGGCTGCCCTTTGGTGCATCCTATGCACTTTACTAGTATGAAAGAAAAAAGCATACTAATGGTTCAACCATTAACCTAATTTTGAAGACTGAAAAAACATTTAAGCAATGCCTAACTACCACCACTACAATATCAAAGAAAAAAGAGAAAACCTTAATAATAAAGATGTTAAAATTATAGGAGAAGATGATATATTACAAAATCTTGGAATATGGGAAAGGAGGTTACGGTTACATAAATCACAAAAATCACTTGGGATATTACCACCTTGTTGGTTGACGACCTTTTGTAACCCAAAGGATGACAAATCAGCTACATCAAGCTGATCTTGAAAGAAGGCCTCAGAAACACCACCAGATCTTAGTGGAACAACAACAGCTGCCAGATTGTCCATGCTTCCTCTTTCAAAAGCATTATTTATAATTGAATCAGCACAAGAATGTGATAAAGCATGTACACACCAAGGTTTAGTACTGGATCTTAAGTTCTCATCCCATAAAACCTTACAGACTTCTTGAGTGGTCATTTTTTCAAAGATTCCATCAGATGCGGTGACCAGAAAACTATCATTTTCACTTACATATTGCCAATCTGTCACCTCGGGAATGGATATGACACCGTATCTACACTTGTTCAAGATAAGAGAGAAAAAACTTCATAAAAGAAAATTCCATTCGAATGTATAATATGAATTATAATCAAAATACGTTGGAAGCAGATAAATATCATGAAAATAAAAATGGGGCAGATGTATGATGAACAGGATAATGAGAACATTATAATGATTTTGAAAAATTAAAAAGGTGAAAAGTTAGCAGCTATAACAGTAATAAATAAACTCTCTCAAAAAGGCCAGAAAAAAGGATATTTGAATATATCATATTCCAAAAAGTTCAAAGACATCTACTATGCACATTGTTGCTAGAAAAATAACACAAGCTAACAATGTGCCTTGCCTAATGCGAGTGGGACAGACCTGCATCACAAGCATCTTCACTGCGACCCTGTTCATGATCTACATAGAGATCACTGCTCAATTTTTTCCCAATTTAAGGGAATAATGTGCGCAGTGCCTAAACTTTGCCACATAATCACCGCAATCTTCCTCTTCTCCACCCTCTTCCACCGGTTTTGTCTTTTTTTCATCCTCCAACAAACACTAGCAAAAATCCCATTGTGGCCACAATTTCGACCATGTGCATCTCTGTGTCCGCCTTCTCTTCTAATGCAACCTATCTCTGTGTCTGCCTTCACTCGTGTTTGAGTTGCTTTTTCACAGCTCCGATTTCATTACTTCAATCAATCCATCTTACAATTCTCAGGCACTATTTGTGCTAAACATTTACAAGTGGATATTGATACGGCTAACTCATCTTTCTAGGCTATTTGTGGCTAGAGTTTTGGTTGAAATAGATGTTACTATTCCCCTAAAAAGGAGGTGTAAATTGGTTTCTCACTATGTTGCTATTAGTACAAGGTAGAATTTGAAGACATTGCTTCCTATCATTTTTCTTGCAAAATTTGTAAGCATAACTACAAATAAAGTTTCAAAGCTCACATGAAACTAAGGAAATCAACCATCCAAGTACATAATGAGCATACAAATGATCATACTTTACCTTCAAACTTGATGGATAAAATGCGTACCTCTGACCAAATTTGCACACATAATTTGGAAGCAACTCTAGATCTTATTATGGAATCAGAGCCTCATGAGCCTGTCCCTACTATCATACGCCCTAGGGATTTGGTTAGCTCTTCATCTGCATGCATGATCATTGATCATGATCCTCCTGATATATTAGTCCCTCATCTTCTTCTTATTATTGAGGATGTTGATGACAAAGTTTATTATCTTTGAGCATAGAAGCTCAAGTGAATAGAAGGTTTTAAAGTATGCTCGCCAACCAAGCAAGAATGAGAAAATATTTATAATCATTCTCCAAGGTTCAACAGGGTTCAAGCAAGGCGTTGTAACTAATAGTTTAGGTAAATTTTCTTTTTAATTGATGAAAAATTCCTCAAATTTCATCATGTGAACTTTTACTTTATTTGTATTTTTTACTTTTCATATAACAATTCTTCAAAATTTCTTTTCACTAAGTGATTATAAATTTATGTATGGAAAGAGTTCACTTCTGGTAATTTTGTCTTCTTGTTTCTCTCCATGTTTCATTCAATAAAGTTACACTGAAGTGCAGCTTATATGGTGTTGGAAGTGGGATTTCCATGGGTAACAATAAATGAATGTGAGAAACTTCACTGGGGAAACATCAAATAGTGGATAATCAAAGTCTATTAAAGCCTTACCTCTTGAAAGGCACATCTCCAATTGCTCGGGACAAGGCTAGCTCACCATTGACCCGAAGAACTCCAGCCCACTCCACAACAAATCCACCAGCAGCTTCCACACGATTTCTTTCATCATCTCGGGCAAGGTGATGATCTCTTGTAAGCTCCTTAGCATAATATCCTACTGCATTATAATTTGTCATTTTAGACCCTTCATATACATTTACTGGAGAAATAACTGCTTCATGTCTCCTGCGCCTCTTTAACTTTGATTTACTGGCTGAAATAGAGAAATTGTAAGGAATGCAATGACCCTAAATCTTTATTTGTATTCAGACTCAAAGGAGTAAAAAATTTGCTAAAAATAGGTGTGGGTTTTTGCTAAAGATAAGTGTTAACAAATATACATTTGTGCAATTGCTCTTTAATGCTTTTGCATTTTCCAAGATTTTATTTTTTCTCCTATCGCAATAATTAGAGAAAATATGATGAATATGTTTTTCTTTCAATAAACAACACCAACCTTTTTCAAAATAAGGATCCAAACTTTCTGAACACAAAAAGGCCTTCGAATCACCAACATTGGCAGCCAAAATATGGCCATCTGCTATAAGAACAATGGTTGCAGTTGAGCCAGAATGAAGGTTAAGTTTTAAAGCTTCCTGCATGAGATAATGGAAAATGGAAATTCAAAAGCGTGTCCTCCTCAAAAAATTATGATAAAATAAATAAGCAGATGAAAAAACTTACCTTAGAAAATGTCACATCAATGTCATGAATTGTCCTCAGCAGTGATTCTTTGAGAATTTCCAAATGAAAAGATTCTTCGAAAATAGTAGATGACCACTCTGACCTGCCCATTAATATGACAATACTAATAGAATTAGTATGATGACATGGCCAAACTGCAGCAGAAATCAATTTTTAGGAAAATGCATTTTCCCATGAGCACATCCATTCATGCTAAAACGTAGAAGTAAAATGACATAAATTTGGATATGGTCATTCAATAATAATGCCTCAGCATTGCGAAAATCAAACTAAATAAGTTAGATTACATGGAACTAAAATCAAACTGAATAAGTTAGATCACATGGATCTCAATTTATGGTTGAGGAAATTATGAGACTTTGTCCAGGTCTACAATCACGCCCTCATACAGTTCATAAGAGAAACATTTCCCCTCATAGACGAAGACCATCAGACAATAAATTCCCAGCACATACACAGCAAAAAAATGCCGTTAGGATTCAACAACCTAAATCCTAGTTTCTTGGATTCAACAAAACTGAAACACTAAAGTGGCACAAGGAATAACCAGATAAAACATTTCACAGTATCAGAGAACAACAGAGGAGGAATCTAGCCCTTTTTAATCTAATAATGATGAGTTCAACTAGATAACATCTCCAACACCCAAAAACTAATGACAACTTCCAACAATGTGACCACTCTAAGGCCCAAGGGCTGCATTTCCCTCTCACTAGGTTATAGACTATAAATGGACTGAAACAAGAAATGTTTTTAAAAAAACGCATGTCATAAGTAAATATTTAGCTATAACCACAGGTATAGATGCCTAAAAAGAATAGCACTAATGCCATGTAAAGGAATATTATAATTATGAAAAAGAGCTGTAAGATAAGAGATAAAATAGAATATAATTGATGCAGGCACTAAATATACATGAATTCCAGATTATTCAAAAAATCAAAAAGCAAAATTCAATATCAACAACCAAATTTATCATATTTTGATAGCCAGCAATGCTCTATAACAAAGATGGTTCTTCATAGAAGAGATATGTACATCCAAACCTTTTTTGACCCCACTTTAGCCAACTTTCGTCTTTGGCCGATTCAAGCACTTGGACAATCACATCTTGCTCTTCATTGTATGTCAATTTCTCAGAAGCCTTCTTAAGTATTGCAGAATATATCCCATCAAGGACAAAATACACATGTAGTGAAAAATACTCCACTAGAAGTTTGGAAGCCAAATCGCTGGCTTCGGCACCATTATGACCATCAAACACAGCCACAATGCCAACTAGTTTCTCCTTGATTCCTTTTCTCCCTGAACCAATCAAGAACCAACAATGTCAAAAGCACATAGAAAAATATAAAAAAGGACAGTTACCAACAACCAAAACTCACAGGAAAAAGTTCAATCAGTACCTTAAAGAAAAATAATTGTAGTACAAAAAAATCAGTGCCATTTTCTATTTTCCATATGTGCCTTTTGAATCATAGTTTTTAGTTTTGGTAGAAACCAATTTGTTTTGCAGGGCTGAAGATCAATTTCAGTTGAGAACTCTCAAAAGTTGGGTAAAATGAAGAAAACTATTTTTATTTTTAAAGGTTTTTTTTAAATTAAAAAAATAATCAAAACTAAATGCCAACACAGCCAAGACTTTCAAACCTCCAAAATGTAGCTTCTATGATGACAGTCAGAATTGAAAGCAAGGGCGGAAGCAAGTGGTGTTCAGGGGGGGCAATTCGGCAATTTCCCCCACTTAAAAATTTTTTTTTAATTACAGATAAGGGAATTTTAGTAGTTTGTCCCCTCTGAAAAAATACTTTTGCCCTTTTTCGCTCTAACATCCCGCGACTGGTCTCATTCTTCCTCTTCGTGAATCGCAAGCAGGCCGCCGCTCTCTTCCATCTTCCATCTTCTTCACTCGGCAGCAGGTAAAAGCTCTGTTTCTACATGTAAAAGCTCTGTTTCTGCATGTAAAAGCTCTGTTTTTCTTCTTCACGCGGCAGCAGGTAAAAACTCTGTTTTTCTTCTTGTTTTTTCTTCACGCGGCAGCAGGTAAAACTGTAAAAGCTCTGTTTTCTGCAGGTAAAAGCCCTCTTCGCAAGCAGGCCGCAACCCTCTTTGCTCTTCCCAAGGAATCGCGATTGTGTGAGTTTTCCTTCTTGTTTCTGATTTTTTTTTCAAATTTTTGTTTCTTCTCTCAAGTTTCATATTTTGGTTGCTAAATCAAATGGTTTATCTTTTCTAGCAAAAGAATCTGCTGAGTTTTGGCTTTCCTGTTTTTTTTTTAATGTTTTTTTTTTCCTTTTGATATGTTACAGAAAGAATTTTCTTTCCTGAGTTTTGGCTTACAGAAAGAAGTTTTGTTTTCTTATGTACCTGAGAATGTTCACATCAATCTTATGTTGAATAGAAGACTTGTTTGGCCAGCAGTTGCCAGCAGTTGAATGCATATTATACATTTTCTAATATATTCCATGCCTTGGAGAAATAATGAGAATTTTAAATTATATTATCTTCTGCTTTTATCGAAAATAGAATTAAATTGTGGGTCGAGATAAGCATCATCTTGCCACTAAAATGTCATTTTGTTAATTTCTTAAGAGGGACGTCTGAGATTGTTGTATCCATGAAATTCTCTCTCTATCTCTACCTTTCTATCTCCATCCATCTTTCTCACAAAATTATTAAATAAAGGCTTCGTATAAATGGCAAAGCATAAGTTAGTGCTGAAAAACTGAACTTTTAAAAAGGGGGATTACATGCATTATAGTTAATATTGTGGAGATTGGATAGCTTAAGAGGCTAATCTTATAATTTTTTTTCTAATTGTTGCATATATGTTGTTATAGATTTTTTTTTCTAATTGTTGCATATATTGTATAAATTGCGCAGTAAAATGGGTGATAGTTGGCTCAACGACTGTCTAGTTCCATATATTGAAAAAGAAGTGTTTGATTTGGTTCCAAATGAAGTTGTAATGCAACATTATCAAAAAATGCAAAATAGAATGCAAAGCTTGTAACTTTCATTGCATATAATAATTTGTTTGAATTTTGTTATATATATATATATATATATATATATATATATATATATATATATATATTATATATATATATAATATATATATATATATATATATATATATATATATATATATATATATATATATATATATATATATAATATAATATATATATATATATATAGAAATAATTGCAAACCTTGTCATTACCATTTATCACCCATGCAATTATAGGTTTTGAATTAACACATAAGGCAACAGCCAAATGCACAAGCAATCACGCTCGCTACAAGAGTTTGCACGTTTAAGAAAAAGAAAAACCTTGTAGCAACGACTATACTCATCAATTTATCAATTATCTCGCAGCACCAATTAAGGAATAATAATTAAAGCTCATTCGGTCTTCTGAGACAATGAATGAGCTCGGTCTTCCTGAGGGAAATCAGGATGCCAATCGTCCACCGGGAAGTAAACGCACAAGCAATCACTGCCCTTGTTCAATCAATCAAATACGCCCTTCAAAAAATATCGGCAAGGAAGAAGTAAACGCACCTAAGAATGGGATCCTTATATCTAAGACACAGACGGCTCGGTCTTCCTGAGACCTGCGCCTCCCCTGGCGAACAGCGATCTGGCAGTTGGTGGGAGGACCGCCAGGAGCATCGGCGGGAAGAGTCCACCGGGGGCACTTTGGCGACTGGAAGACTGCCGGGGCGCCGCCTTCCTTGTAAACAGCCAGACAAGTTTGGGTTTCGCCGGCGAATGATGGGATCAATAGGAAGCCCAGAAAACCTAACAGGATGATGTGCTCGATGTACATATCTCGAAAGAGTCTCGTTTTCGTCGCTCACTTTGAGTGATTCTGTCGATTTTCATGGAGGCAGGACCGAGCAAAAAGCGTTCCGTGTCTCCTCCCTGAGGAAAAGGGCAAATTATTGCGTCCGGTGTCCGGATACGTCCGGACACAATCCAGACACGCCACATCAGCAAAATACACTGGATCCCGATGTATTTGAGTGATTGTGGCGCATCCAGATTGGTTTGTCCGGATCGAGGGTGGAGGGTGGAGGTTGGAGGTTGGAGGTGGAGGGTGGTGGGTGGCGGGCAAAAGCTAACTCGCTAAGCACGAAGGCTGCGTTTGAGCATAAATCGAAAGGAATTTTATGTGATATTATAAAAAAAAAAAAATTTTAAGAACATTTAAATATTAACATTATATATAATATTAATTTTATTATTTCATACTATGTAACTCCTTATTAATGGAGCTAAAGAATTTAGGGTTAACTTGTAAAGCATAATAGGCCTCACTGTCTTTGCTTATAATTGATCATCTCCTCGTATCTCCGAGAAATGATTACGAGCAGCACCTTATCGTTCGGAGAAAAATCAGGATATGCTACGTTACCTAGTACACAGTCGTGGTACACAACAAAATGATGACATGGTGCATATTGATCCATCTTCAGATGGCGTCCCGTGATTGTACGTAATAATTTATCCTTGTTTCCACCCTCTTTGGCATAGATAGCATTTAAAACATCAAAATAAAAAATAAAAAACACCTTTAATTGATAGTTGTCACCATGTTGTCGGTCTGTCACCCTTCACTTGTAGCTATTTGTCATTGTTTTTGTTGTCCTACACTTGTCATTAGTTGTTTTCAATCATGATTTATTATAGGGGAGCAATGGTTCATACCCTCTAGGCTGAGTAGGGGTGTAATTAAGTCAAGCGAACTCATGAGCCAATTTGGGCTTGATTTCATAAAGGGCTCATGAGCCAAATTTGATGAGCTAACAAATCAAGCTTGAGTCAGCATCACCTTAACTCGTTAGCTCCTGAACTAATTCATTTAAAAAATATTAATATAAAATACACATAAAATATATTTCAATAATTTTAGTATAAAAATATTAAAATAATACTTAAAATAATATATTTTCCTTCTTTCAAGTGATTTTTTATTATTTCTCATTTATTATTATTATTATCATATTATTATAATAAATGCTTGAATAAAAATAATATTATCTCATTGATAGTAAATGAATATGACTCCTTAGCCAACCTGAGCCATAAAATAAAATTCACCTCGAACTCGATCAACTAATCAAGCTCAAGCTCAAGTTGAGGGTGCCTCGAGTTTAGCTCAACTCGTTTACACCCCTGAGGCCAATGAATGAGCTCGATGTGGGGTAGGACTGGCTTGAGCAAAGTTGCACTCGATAACATTTTGGCCAAGCAAAATCGGGTTGCAGGTCGGGTTCGGGTTGAATCTGGAATTGACCTCTAGAATTGACCCATCGCTATTTGACACGACCTGAACTTGACCCATATTTACAAATGACTTGGTAAGTTCAACCTAGACCCGGCCCAGTCGGGTTTCCGAGTTGACCCTTCCTGACAAGGGTTATGGCCGAAGAAGTGCGCGAATGGGAGGAATGTTTCTAGCATTGAATCCAAAGAGGGACGGTGGAGTTGAAGCCGCAAGACTGGAAGGAAACGTGAGGGACGGCGGGGTTGACCCTAACCCTACGGGACGGCGCCATCAGCAAGATGGTATGTCGTCGGCCTAAGGTTTACTAAAATGCATAGGAATGAATGTTGCCAGCGCTGGCGAGGCCGTAGGACGGTGGGAAAGGCGGACATCGAGGCCTTCATGCAGAAAACGGGCACGGGAGATGTGGATGGCAGGATTTTCGGGTCATTGTCAGTTTTCGGGTCAATCAGAACTGGGTAAGTTTGGTTTACTTCAAAAATGAACTAAAATTACTTACATGACATTTAATTTATTTTGCTCTACTTTGTATTCCAATCAAATACTAAAATTTTCAAAACTCCTGCAATTAGAATACTTTATTCCACTTTGTATTCCAAACAAACAGTGCTAATTGAGAACTTGTAACACAAGAAGAGATGAAAACTCCTTACAAGCATAACACGTGGATACTAACTAAGCCATCCATAAATAAGAAGGAATTGCAAAATAACTGGATATACAATGAATAATAGATAGGAACCCAAAGGATAAAGTAATACTTATTATCAAGGAGCTCCAATAGAAATAAGGTATAAACTTTACATAGATATTATCTCATGTAGTTAAACTAATGACTATGTATCTAATATTGAGCATTGCAGAAGCATAAGATCTATACCTTTAACAAATGGATGTTAATATAGCATTTCTCCTTGGTGATATGGAGAAATTCATTAACATGATTTAATCAAAAAGCTTTATTGAACTTTGAAAAGAAAGCTTTGTTTGTAAGTTAGACAAAAGCCTTATGGCTTAAAATGAACACCTTGTCAATATTACCAAAATTTTGATGAATTTATATATATATATATATATATATATATATAATTAATTTTATAGATCCAATGCTAATCACTATTATTATATCAAAGAAATTGATAAATATTGTATTATGATGTTTCTATATTTGAATTTTCTTTTAATTATAGAGGTTAGTATTCAAAAGATCAATGATTTGAGGAGATAATTATCAAAAGAGTTTAACATGAAGATTTTAGAAGAAACAGAAAATATTATTGGGATGAGAATAGGTCACAACAAGGCCACATGTACACTAAGTATTTCATGATCATAATATATTGAAAAATGTCAAACATGTTCAATAGAAAGACTATAAGTACACCACATGCTAGACACTCCAATTTATTTCAAGGAATATATGTCACAATCTAAAGAAGTGAAAGAGTGCATGTCCAGAGTCTCTTATGGCTGCTAGATCTCTTTTGTATGTAATGGTCTACACAATATCATATATTATACAAGTAAAAGGAACATTAAGTTGATGTGAAGTGCTTATTATGCTATATAAAAGATATGATCAACCATTCTTTAGAGTTTAAAAGAAATGATTTCAAACAACAATATTAAGTTGATTTAGGTCTAGGAGAAGACCTAGATACAATAAAAAGTACAATCATGTATATCCATATCTTTGGTGACACTATTATTAGTTGGGTGTCATAACTTTAGAAGATAGGTTAATTATCAATAATTTAAAATAAATATAAAGTTGTCATTGAAGCAAATGAAGAGATGGTTTACCTAATTTTTTTTTTAGAAGAATTGAAACAATCATAAGAAGATGCTTCTATATTATTTGACAATCAAAATGCCATTCAATTAGTAAATAATGATGTATTTCACTCCCATATAAAACATGGTAGACTTAAGAACCACTACATATGTAGCTTGCTTGAAAAAAATATTTTATAGTAATCAAGATTAAATGTGCAAAAAATCACGCTGATATGATTGTTAAAATTGTACATACTGAAAAATTGAGATTTCACATTGTTCAGTTGATTGAGAGCTTTGCCCAATAATCAAGAGATTTTGGGTTCGAAGATAGCATATGTGATGTGCTTGTGAGTTTGTCTTAATGGCTCAAATGTCTCAAAAAGAAAAAAAAAATTAAGGTTTTGCTACTAGTGTAAAGCCTCAATTAACATCTAAGAATGATATAATATAGAGGTATCATATAGATAAGTATTCCACAAAGCATATTCTATAAAAAATAATTAAATAAGGCTTCATTTGGGACAACTTTCCTAGTGCCTTTTAAAGCAGTTTTATAGTGCAAAAATTTCTAGTTCAAGAAATTTTAGCACTTAAAAACAGCTTTGAAAAGCAATAAAAAAATTATCACAAACAAAGCTATAATTTAGGTTATCATCAAAATCTTAATATGTTTTTTATTATTTTTGTATATTATTTGATTATTAGTTAGTAATGCTTGAAATTATATAGTGTCAATGTCTAATGTTTTTTTTTATTATTGTATTAATTATAAAAATATGTCATAATTAAATGTATAACAAATAAAAAAATTTTGTGATTGAAATCATTCTAAACTTCAATTGACATACAAACAATACAATCAAATTAGAAAATCAAAATAATTTTACTATTTTTAAAACATATGTTCTGCTTACAAGCAACCAAATGGATCCATAGATTCCTTCAAAGCTTAGAAGAAGGTTAATGATAGTTCTGTCTAAGAGGAGAAAATTTTCCAAATAAATTGCCATACAAATTAAAGTTGACCAAAATGTATAAAGAGTTCATGCATAACTTCTTAGTTCCTACTGAAAAAAACACATCAATCATACTTTACAGATCAATGAAATTTCATTAAACACAGAAAGCATCATATAAGTACGAGCAATTATTACGTCCTCTGACCGAATGGTTTTATAGGTTCGGCCACCATTAATTTTACGCCACGTAGCAGCCCGACGACCCGACCCAAACCCGCGGTTTTTTGGATATTTGACGTTTCTTTTTCGTTTAAACGGGCGGGAAAACTTTAAAAGACGCGGGTATATAAACTTCTGGCCGATTATCTTCACTGTACACAGAACGTTATACAGTATTTAGGGTTTACGAAACTTCCGCAAAGCGTTCCACGCGACGAATATGCACATAAGCATGGATTTAGTGTTCGGAAAGAACATCTTTCTTACTGGCCTGGTACCAGGAAATTGAAATCAAAGGTTTTTGTCTGTTCAAAAGCTGGATTCAAGAAGGAAACAGAAAATATACAGAAGGTTAAATTTAGAAAATCAACTACAAGAACTGGATGCCCTGCTATGGTGAGATTTTTTGTTAGTGAAGAAGGGATATGGACGGTGAAAAATTCGGTAGAAACACACAACCATGAATTGGCAAAACTGGATGATCAACATTTGCTGAGATCATCTAGGCACATCACTGAAGAGAATGCCTCTGTTCTGAAATCAATGGCTGATGCGGGAATAAGAACAATAAATGCATTCTCCTATCTATCCGAGGAGGTTGGAGGTGTAGAAAATCTGGGCTTTACCAAGAGAGATGCATACAACTATATTCAAAAGGAGAGAAGAGCAAAAATTGAGAATGGGGACAGCAATTCGCTAATCGAATTATTCAAAAACAGGTCAGCTGAAGACAATCTATTTGCATGGGATGTGCAAACTGATGAGAAAGACAGGTTGGTAAACTTTTTTTGGGTAGATGGTTTGGGGAGAGTGGATTATGACTGCTTTGGGGATGTAATAATTTTTTATACTAGCTACCGTCTGAACAAATATAATTTAGTATGTGCCCCTATTATTGGAGTCAATAATCATTGGCAAAACATTATATTAGGGCTACATGAAAAGAAGTCCGATATTAAAGCAAGCAGCCAAATTTTATTCAAGAAAGTTATATTCATTTTTTGAAGAGGAGTTTTTGAATGGTTTAGGTGGACTACGCATTGATCACTCTTCACCAGACTCATCAACATTTTCTGTGAAAAACATAGACCATACACTTGATTCACACAAGTGGACGGTTTTGTTTAGTTCAGCTGAAGGAACTATAAAGTGCAGCTGCGGAAAGTTCGAGATGATGGGAATCCTGTGTTCTCATTGCATGAGAGTGATGAGTCAGTTGGATGTTACTAATATTCCTCAGAAATACTTAATTCCAAGATGGTCAGCAACTGCTAGGAATGATCTTTATAGTGGATTGAATGTCCAGCTTATAATACCGAGTTTGTGCACGTTGAATCAAGGTTCCCGAAACATGATTTTTAGAAATTATGTTTGTCGATTTGCTTATCAAATTAGCACTGAAGCTCAAGGTAATGAGGATGCAGAACAGTGTATGATAGATGGTATGAGTGCATTGGCATTAAATGTTCAAAACATTATGGAAGGAAAAAGAAATAAATGTATCACTGAGGGGCTACAAAATAATTAGAGATCCTGCAAAGCGCCGGCCTAAGGGAGTTTCTAATGCTAGATTAAAGGATCATTGGGAGAAGAGAAAGGCCAAAAAAGTGAAACCAACCGTGCATAATCCTAATCCAACTTTATATTTTACACATGCTGAATCAGGAAGTCAGTCATCCTTTATGTAAGTGTGATCAAGATCTCTGAATAAGAAGGTACTATTCGATATTAGCATTTCAAACTCGATATTAGTGGAATTTCTAATCACATCAAAATAAACAAAACACAAAAATATCATATGCAAAATTATAAATTTATTTTATCGTACTACAAAAAAAGGCATAAGCAAATTCTGCCCTAAATAAGGCCATATTACTTTGCCAGTTCTTATGGATGTCCCAATAATCAACGCTATTTCATCAGAAGTGAAAGTTAAAGTCCGGCTATTAATAACAAAACTTTCAGATTCGTTATCCCACGTTGACAATAACATATAAACAATAGGAACATTTTGTGGGAACCGATGTAGTAATAGGAACTAGTTAATTTGTAGCTCACTTAGGCTACTAACAAACTGATCCCCAAATTTCTCAACCAATTCATTACAAACTTCTCTAAATCCTGAAGTCCGACATCTGAAATGAATCTTGGGGGTATATCCCTGCATAATAAAGTGTAACAAACACTAAAAAAATAACAGTTTTACAGAATTATTCCGTTAAAAACTACGTGAAATAAATAAGTGTAACAAATACTAAGAAAATACCGAGTTTTCTTAGTACCGAGTACCAAGTTGTACCGAGTACCGAGTACCTAGTAACACGGTAGAACAGAACCCTAAACCCTAAATACACGTCGTTTAGGATTCTGTTCGATTTACTAAGGCAAACCTAACATGTCTACGAAATGTGTACCGAGTTTTATCAACTAGTAACGATGTTTACCGAGTTTAATCATCAAATATCGAGAAAATCGAACAAAACCTAGTACCGAATACCGATTAGTATCGAGTTTTAGAATGCATAGCGAGTTTTAAAAACAAGCAGAAATGTTTACCATATCCCTAAAACTCGGTACTGTTAGATTGCTAACGATATAAACAATATCAAAACAATGATACTTTTTCGGTAAATCGTTTCGAATCTCAGGCATTATATCAGCGACGGTTTTCAGATGGAGAATACGAAGAACTACGAGTTGAAATGCTGGAGAACTACGGAGGAGATGCTGGAGAACTCCAAAGGATTTGCTGGAAATCTAAAAAACGAAGTAAACAGTAACAGAGATTTGAATCTCCGTAAAAAGGTGAAGCGTCGCACTTCGAAGTGTTTGTGATGTTTTCCATTTAAAATTTAACACGTGCGATAACCCAAAATACAGCGGGTCGGGTCGGCGACTTTTCTTCATGCGACGTGGCGTCAAAACATTGGTGACCGAACGTAAAGGAGCGTACGTTCACTGGACTAAACAATTGTTCTATAAGTACAGTTTTAAAAGCTGCAAATTTCTTTTTTTGGACAAATAGTAGCCTCATACACCAGAAAAATTATTCTCTACGGACCCTAGTAAGGTCCAGAGACCAACCAGGACACGCCACGTAATTTTTTTGCTCGGTATCACTATGGACCGGGTGACATTGCACGTTCTGATTGTTCTCCAAACCGTCCGGTGTCCACACAGAATAATTTATCCATACACCGAGGATAAACTCAAATCTACATAAGCACTTCATTTGGGACAACTTTTCTATAACTTTTTAAATCAAATTTTTAGTAAAAATAAAAAATAAAATCAATCAAAAAATAGTGATAAAAAATGTACCAAACGAAACATTAGTTGCACAAGAAAAACATACCAATCATACAAGACATATTACACAAAAACATCTTATAAGTTGTGTTTAACAACTGCAAATTTCTTCTTCTTTTTTTGGACAAATAGCATCCTTATACAATGAGGATGAGCTCAGCTCTGCGCAAACATTTAGTTCCACAAGCAAGACATGCCAATCATACTACACAGATTAGTGAAATTCTATTGAACACAAAAGCATCATACAATCACTGTTTAACAGCTGCAAATTTATTCTTTTGGACAAAAAATAGTCTTATACGCTGAGGATAATAAACCTCAAGATCAACATAACCATTTAGTTTCACAAGCAAGGTTTTTATTAAAAGACAATTGAGCCACCTAGGCCATGAACATATAGGGATGCATAAGGTATTCAAAAGTAGTATTCCAAGAACTATATAGGAGAAGGGTAAGGCAAATGCACTCAGAGTGCCTCAACTGCTTGGCTAACAGTTGGCTTCTTTATAAAGGCATCAACATACTCCCTCCTGTAACATGAAAGCTATGATAAGTACTAGAAGCAGCCACACAATGAATCTCATTCTACTGTAGAACCAGAAAAAAAAAAAAAAGCTTGTTTTACCTCGCAGGGAGATGATCATGGGGTCGGTTATATGGAGTCCACACAGGTTCCCCCACGAAAAGTCGTAGAGCCTGTGAAAGGAGATATTTAGTTCGAAAACTGTTGATGAAACTATAGAAAAAGCTAATAAGAACCAGGCACGTTTCTCTGGATACATGCATGATTAATTCTGTCAGAACGGTCTATTGGACCGGTCCAGCCGGTAGGACCGGCCCATGCACGAAATGGCGGAGGACTTCCGCCTCCCTGTATGAGCTGCGTGAGCCGCAAGGTCCACGGAAGCCAATTTGGAGGGATTTTTTAGGGAGTTAGGAGGGAAACTTGAATGTAGGGACGGTTTAGGGATGTCCTTTTGATTTGTATGCATTAAATAGTTTGTTTTCCTAGGGTTATGACATCTTGAATTTGGGCTGAATTTGAGATCTCTTAGATTTAAATTTTCTTTTGGGCTCTAGCGGCGTCTAGAAATTTGTGAGAGATAGAACCTCCTCTCGAATGGAGGATCAATTGTATCTTGCTATTTTCCGTTTCCCTTTCATCAAATAATACAAATTATCTACTGTTTTCTTTTTTGTGAGGATTTTTGTGGATATTTTCCGAAGATTGATAGGAAATATATGAGATCTATAAGTGTTTCCCATCAAATTCCTAAAATATCCTAAACATTATGGTATTTGCCTCACTAAAGAAGATCTAAAATTACTTCTTTGTGTATTTAATTGGACATTTTTAGCCTTGCTTAAACACTAGGGAAATTAATTTATCGCCAAAGATAGTGAAACCAAATAAGATAATCTTTTATACCTTTATGTAGTTATCTGTATCAAGAGTGAAACGGTGGTAAATTCCAGCAGGTAAGACAATCATTCCCCCTTTCTTCACAGCTATGCGAATCCATTGATCCTTTTCATCCCTCACATCAAAATAACCTTAACAAACCGAGCAAATTTAAGATAATGAAAGAATGATAATCACACCAGATGCAAACAAAGTAATAAAAAAACTTACCGCTTCCTGCAACGCAGTAACGGATCTCTTCATCAGTGTGCAGGTGCTCCTCAAAAAAGCTCTTGATCTTGGCTTCATAATTTGGCAATTTCTCTGGGCAAATATCACATATGTCCTAAGATGGAAAAGAGAAAGCAAAGAGATGAAACCATAAAATATTAGCATCATCTTCTTCTTCTTCTTCTTCTTAGAATCGAACCAAAACAAAGGGATAATAAGCTTAATCAGTGACCATGTAATTGTAGCCCCTGGCTTCACGAATCTTTTTCAGCGCTTCATCATTTTCATAATCATTAGCATTTAATCGCCAGCTAACAATACCAAGTTCTACAAAACAAACCCATCCGCCTCAAACTTTAAGCAGAGTGAACAGCTCATAAAAGGTTATTAAAATGGAAATCTGGTCACCTACGTACCTGCAAGCCTGTCAATAGAAACAAACTGCTTTGGTTCACGGTGATGGGGAAGCCTCTGGTCTTCTTCACTGTCATCCATATACCATGCTTGGATAACTTCCTCCTTTCCTTCCTAGATGAGCGGGGGAAATAAAACATCTCATGGAATTCATTCTTGTTTAACATCTTTTTTAATGATCACATCAAGTACATAAACTTCGAATACAAACTGATTGTACTCAACGTTTGAAGCAAAAATATGAGTGGCAGATGAACAAAGTACATTAGCATAGCATGCTAAAGAGATAAACTGAGATAATAAATATTTTATACTATTTTGGCACTTCAACTGCCTAATGAAATGAAAGTTTCACCTCCATAATGATTTAAAAAGTGTAAAAAAAGTTACTCATCAGTAAATTATCTCAAATATTTGAGCTTATTTTAGAATACTCATTTGTCAATCCTTCTTGTTAAATATTATAAGAAATGGTAAGCCTATTTTTCATAGTTTTTTAGAGCAGTTTCTATTTATGTTATCTTAGGTCTACCCATGATCCATCTTAATCCTTCAAAATTAATTTTATTTCCCCGCCTAATGGTGTATTTTCTATATCATGTCATACATGACTGAATTCTCCCTCAAATATATTAAATTATTTTATAAATGTTACTCTCATCAGCCCTCATATATAATATCTCCTTATTTATCCATCTAATTTGCCACAAATCCATCTTAACATTCACATTTTCGTCACGCTCAACTTAATTGTCAATAAATTTTTTATTGCCCAACACTCAAATCAGCATAATATAATTTTGTAATTCTATAACTCAACCTTTTAAGTATCCAAAAAATTCCTTATTGCACAATATAACTAAATCACTTCTTTATTTTATCCAAATAACCTTAACTCTAAATATTATATCCTCATCCATATCTCAATTTCTGATGTACAATAAATCTAAAATACTTAAATCAATCACTTCTAAGTATCTCTTTATTTTCTAATAATATTAACCGATGAAGTTGCATATCATAAGCTCAACCTTCAATCTAATAATCCAACAATACCAAGCTTTTATCCTTGGGTACATGAATCCTTTTTCACCATTGTGTCCTATAACGAGTCAAATTTGCATTTAAATTTAATAAAAAAAATGTTATTTTTAATAAATTCTAACCAAGTCTTTTTTAGGTCTACCTCTATTTTTCTTAACATAGATCAGATTTAATACATATACTCTTCTTACATAATCATCAAAAGACCGACATTTTATGTAACCATCACATCTAAGGTGGATGTCTCTAATTTTATCTACCAATGGAGCTACTCAAACCTTTTTTACATATATACTAATTTTGCAACTTCTCTAAATGTAAAACCACTCATCCACCTGCGTTATGCAACACCTAAGTTAATTTTATGCTTCCCTTCTAAAGGCCAACATTCTACGCCATAAAAACATTGCAAGTCTCATCACCATCTTAAATTTTTTCCTTAAGTTTGAGAAATACCTTTCTAACAAACAATAGGTCCAATGCATTCCTCCACTTTTACACTTCCAATCGTGATAGCCCATCAATAAAGTCCATGGTGACCTCCTTTCTGTCAAATGTCAAGTAGAGCTATGGTTTGAAGTAACCCCCCAGGAGCCATGACCACATCCTTGTGCATCCCCCGCCAATACAGTTCCGCTGCCAATCTTTTGTATGTCTTCTGTACACCTGAGTGATCTCCAACAGCGCTCCCATGGAACTCTTGCAGCAGCTATGAACTGAGGTCCTAGGCATCACAAACCTTCCATGGTACAGCAATCTCTCCCCCTCCAAAGAGAAACCCGGGTGACTGGTCTCATCCTTCAGAAGATCTGCTCGGATTTTTCCCAACTCATCTTGCATACTCTCCTCTTTGATGGCCCCCCAATCCAGCATCAATGGTATCGACATAGCCAACTCCTGGAGTTCCCTCGTGCAGCTAGACAAGGCATATCCACCACTTTGTTCTCCAATCAGGCCTATATTGGATCACAAAATCATAGCCTAATAGCTTTGATAACCATCTCTGATGCTCCTTCGTAACCATCCTTTGCTCTAAAAGGAACTTCAAGCTCCTAATCCGTCCTGACAATGAAATGACATCCCAACAAATATGGTCGACACTTTTGAATGGCTAATAGAAAAGCCATCAATTCCCTCTCATATACTGACTTCAACCTAGCTCTGACAGTCAAAACTTGGTTGAAGTAGGCCATGGGTCTGTGATTCTTCATGAGAATGTCCCCCACCCAGATCCTGATGCATCCATCTCAACCACAAAGATCTGACTAAAATCTAGTAAAGTCAAAACCGGTATTGTAGTCATGGCCTTTTTCAGTCTCTCAAAGGCATGTGTAACTGCCTCACCCCACGGGAAACTGTCTTTCTTCAGTTGCTCCATCAATGGCCAAGCTATGATGTTGTAGCCTCTCAAGAATCTCCTGTAGTACCCTGTCAACCCTAGGAATCCCCTCAGCTCTCTCAGATTCCTAGGTAGAGATCATTTCTGCATTTCCTCAATCTTGGCATGATCGATAGCCACACCCTCTTGAGAGACCACGTGCCCCAACTCCCAAATATTCCACATTAATTTGTGCAAAGCAACATTTCTTCAAGTTGGCTCTCAGTTGATGCTCCCGTAATACTTCCAAGACCATCCTTACATGCTCCTGGTGCTCTCCTATCGACCTACTTTACACCAATATGCCATCAAAGAAGACCAATACGAACTTCCTGAGATATGGTTTGAACCCCTATTCATGAGCGACTGGAAAGTGGCAGGGGCATTTGTGAGCTCAAATAAAATCACTAAGAACTCGTAATGCCCCTCATGTGTCCTTAAAGCAGTCTTCATAACATCCTCTTCTCTCATCCTAATATGATGGTATCTTGACTTCATATCCATCTTGGTGAACACCATTGCACCACATAGCTCATCCAGTAGCTCATCAATCATCAGAATGAGAAACTTGTCCAACACAATCTCCTTATTCAATGTTCGGTAATCCACACAATATCTCCAACTCTCATCCTTCTTCTTGAATAGTAGGACTGGACTAGAAAAAGGGCTTGCAATTGGTCCGATGATCGCCGCCTCCAACATCTCTTGGATCAGCTTCTCGATCTCATCCTTCTAAATCTGAGGGTAGCGATAAGGCCACATACTAATTAGTGACACCCTCTCCCTTGAGATGATGGCATGCTACTGCTCCCTTCATGGTGCTAAGCCTTGAGGTGGCTGAAAAACCTGACTGAATTGTTGTATGAGTAGATGTACTGGAAGAGAAATATCCCCTCTTCCTGTAATTTGATCCCTTCTAAGCTCTACAGTTCCACAAGAAATCCTCCCCACACCTCATGTATGATCCAGGCCATGGTTTTAACAGACACCATGGCCCTAGACAACCCTGCATCTCCCCAGATCATCATCCTTCTTCTCTCCACCACTAGCTCCATCATCAGTGCTCCCTAATTGACCTTAATATCTCCCAAGGTCTACAACAACTCCATCCCTAGGATGACATAGTGCTCCCCAACTCCAATGAGAGAAAATCCTCCCTCACCTGAATCCCTTATATAGTCATCACAACTCTCTTACACACTCCTCTACCCATCTCCACCTTCCCAGTACCCATTATCACCCCATAGCCCCCGATGTCCACCAATTTCACCACCAATTGATCAATGACCTGATTGAAGATAAAATTGTGAGTAGCCTCACTGTCGATCAAAACCACCACCTTTGTCTGCTATTTCTCCTTTCACTTTCATGGTATGATTAGAGGTAAGCCCCACCACTGAGTTTAAGGAGACTTCAGCCATATCAAGATGCAGCTTCTCCTCCTCTACCATTGCTCTCCCTCCTCAGCTTTATCATCATCACAGATGGTGAGAACCTGAAGAGTAGTCCTTACACCTGTGCCTTAGCGTGTACCTCTAATCACATCTGAAGCACAATCCCTTCGCCTATTTCTCCTGCAACTCCTCAGTGAGCTTTTTGAAGTTTCCCCTGAATCCCCCCCTTCGGGCTTCTCCTTTGGGACCTCATGACGGCTTCCCAATGTTGGTTCCTTATGAGCTACAAAAGTGGTGGTCATCTTATACAAGCATCCTGAAATGTTGTCTATGGCCCCCTCTCAAGATACTTTTGGTCCTCCATCAACTGTGCAAGCTCCATATCCTCTCTCAAATCACGCGGCCTCATCACTTTAACAACCGCCGAATCTCGGGCTTGAGTCCCTTCATGAAGTTTCCCTCTAGCACAGTCTCAGAAAGCCAATCCAGCTAGCTAGCTAGATACTCAAACCTGTCATAGTACTTTGCTACAGAACCCTCCTACGTTTGAGTGAAGAACTGCTTATAGAAATCTATTCTGCAATGGCGGGGACTCAATGAGTGCAACGATGGGCAGAGTATTAGTTTGCAAAAGCACAAAAATTCTGGTAAGTTTATGAGGCAATGAATTTGGAAATCTCCTGATTCGCATGAATTCCAATTTCATCAAAATAACTGAGTTATTGGAGATATTTAAAAGTCCTTAGAGAAATATTTTGTATTTATTTTACTCTCAATCAAACACCTAAAAGTTTAAAACCCTTATATTTCAAATGCATTACACTCCTAATGCTTGCAACCAAGCATGCCCAAAATAACTTCAATTTTAATGTCCACATTGGAATATGTTTTAAGTCAAGATATGAAAAGTTAGGCTACTTTCAATTAAAAAAGATTTTTATATATGCATGTATACTTATGTTATTAAATATGCATATACAGATAAAAAGCATACATACAAAATGCACGTGCATAAAAAACCATCAAATTAATGCCAAACTTTTAATTATTTTTTTTAAAAAAAGGTGCATGAGGAGCAGCCTTCTTGTAAAGTAGAAAACTTGAAGCAAAGTAAAACTCAGCCAAAATTTACACAAAATTGACATTATGGTCCAATAATTGCACAATTTAATAAAATATTGTAATACAAAATTTTCCTGCTTAGCCAGTCATAATCATATATGTCTATTTTAACAATAGCTAAACTAATAAAATATTGAAGGTTGTTAGAAAGAGGACATTAAGGAGGATAATTACAAGATTATTTTGTTTTTAGGTTCAGGGTCCAATTTTCATGCTTGTAATTAGTTTCTTTTGAATTATTTTGAAAATTTTGTGAAGTATATAAATAGACACATCATTGTACATAGTTTTCATGATAATTTCAATGCAATTTTAATAATTCTCCAAACTCTCTCCCTCTCTTAAAGCTGTCAACCCTTCTCTCATTTAAAAATTCCTTGGCTGGATAGATACCCACTCTATCCCCTCATTCTCCCTCTAGGAGATCGCTCAACTGAGAATCTCTCTCTACTTGAGCACATAAGGGAGAACGGATTCACTTCTAAGAAAATGAAGAAAGAAGATGAAAGAAGGGGATGCAATCCAATAAGTTGAGGAAGCCATCATCCAATATCTACATTATAATTCTAAATTTATTCAATCAATATTAGTTTCAATAATCTGTCCAAATTTCTTAAAACATTCACCGCACCCTGACGATGTATTCTATATCCCTACTTGAGTTAACATTCAATAGAAATCCATCCCTTGTTTGAGTTTGAAATGCCTTATCATCAAAATTCCACAATTTAGAAGGCCACTCAAGTACATTTTTTTCAGCATAACATCCAAAGACTATCACTAACCTATATCCCCATCATCATCTGGGTTTAGAGAAGATTTTTCAATAACTCCATCAATCCAAGGTCACACTTTTCATTTCATTTTTTTCTTACAAATTTACCAATTATGAGTATGGGTGTCAATATTTTACACAACCCAAAAACCCAAACCGAACTAAAAATTAGGGGTCCGGGTCAACCCGTTTGAAAAATGGGCCAGGTTCAGGTCAACCCAAAAACCGAAAGCAACCCAAAACTGCCCGGCTCCTGCTCGCGTTCAACTGCCTCTGCGCATGAATGTCTACTCGCTTGTTGCGCGTACTCCAACTGAGTTAGTGGGTTGAGTTGAATATAGTTAGAGGTGAATCAGGTTTGAGCCTGGGTTTGTGACCTGTTTAGCTAACTGAGTCCGGTCAGTTGAAGGCGGGTTAATTTCGGGTTGGACCTGAACTCGACCAGAAAACCCATTTTGACACCCCTTAAGTATCAGGGTAAATTGGGAGAGAATTAAAAAATGACCACTTAAACCACCTAATATTTGTATTGATAGTATATTTATCATGCAAAGATTTCCATTGATGAATAGTTCTAGATCAAATTGTTAATATTCAACATGCAAAGACTTCAATGAAAATGTGACAACATAGCAAGGTAAATAATAATATCCCTTATCAAGAGGCAAGTAAAAAATGTAAAATTCCTAGCACCATCACCAATACATACATACATACATATATATAAATCAAAGGAAATCAAATACCTGATGGTTGTAAGTAAGAAAATAAAGGTAGAAAGTTATATCTCATTAATTCTCCTTCAAAGTAATTTAATTACAACAAAAAGAATAAAAAAAGTCACTTTAACGGTTTAAACATTAGACACTTACATTGATAGTTTGGAAATAACTATCTTTATGCCTGTAAAGATTCAATAGGAACTATGGTTGATATCAAACTTCAATTTCTTTGAACTAAATGCATGTACCTCCGCATCAACTAAATATAATAACTTAATGGGGTAAATAAATTTATCAAAAGACAAGAATACTCAACAAAATTAACCATTTCTTGCTTAGCACCTTTACAAACACAAGAAAATATTATCTGGCAGAATATCATACAAGTACAGTTGAACTTTTAGTTAGTTATCATGATTTCATAAAACTAAGATAATATTCATCAAAGGTTAAATATGAATTGAGTATTGTGGGAATCAATCAGCCAAAGGCACAATGATCTTTATTTAATCTTCTTCAAATTGTGGTTTACAGCAGCTATTGTTAAGAACCATCATGATTGTTCTTTTTCCCTTTTTATCATTGCAAGGATTTGAACCTTGCACATCTAAACTTTAGAGATCAAAGGCAACGCCTACACAATATTTTAGATTCTGAGACTAAACAAAAAAGCAAAGCCAACTAACATAGAAATAAATAAAATTATAGGTCGCACTATCAAACTATAGATTGACAAGGAAAACGGACTCTTTTCAATCCACTTAAAATCATTTAACTTCAAACGAAAAAAGCCATCTTTTCCCATTCAGTCATCCATCCTACTATCTGAAGATAATTTTGGTAAAACATCAATTAAACAAAATGGATCACCAGCATCCCTGGCCTGTCTACTTTAATCAGTTCCGAAAATTTAAAACCCTATCAGCAAAAACAAATAAAAATCCTAAACATAGATAAAAAATATCAGAATATTTCATTATGTATTCAAAATTCGATCTTTCTTGAGCAGCCGATATTGACTCTCTCACCATCTCGGCTTCCAAAAGCCTAATTCAAATTTAAGAATAAAAAGTTGAAATAAATTACGCCGGAACTTGTTTTAAAACAATGGAAGCGCTTGCTTCGAGTGAAACCCTAATTAAAAAGTCCAAATTCCATACCTGGAACTCGTTCTCCATCTCCGCTCCCGTCTTCGATTCCGAAATATCAAAAGCTTAGAGGCAACGCGATGGGGCGTGTGTTGTCCAGCTTCCTTTGGTCCTCAATAGACGAGGCTGCGGTTGTTCGAGATGTTGGTGCTCCGCCGGAACAACGCGAACCTCAACGTACTAATAATAATAAGAATTTTTTTTTTGGGAAAAATTATGGCCGTAGCCTTTTCATTAATATAAACTAGTTACATGTAATGAAGAAGAATTAAGATATTTTAAATAACTTATACATATAATATGAATATAAATTTATCTTAATACTTTAAATATTTCAAAATAATAATAATAATAGTCGATAATGTCCTTGAAATAGATATTTGATCGTAAAATTTTAATTTTGATAATTTAAATACTTTGTGGGTGTTTTGATTCAATTTAGGTGTAATTGTAATTATTTTTAACTATTTTTTAAATTTATAATTGTTGTGGACTAGAATATACGCAGATAGAGTTCGAAAGTTCACATTCTAGCGTTATACAGATATTCAGCACACAAACAGAAGATGAAAAAATACTAGAATTTTTACGTGAAAAACCCTAGAAAGGGAAAAAACCACGGTGTCATGCCCAGTGAAAAAGTTATACTAGTGTTGTTTGAGATACAAGAGGCTGTCTCGTCCTTGAAATTTAGGACGATCATATTACAATGAATCAATTCTAGATTGAAATCTAGTTACAGCGTCGGGCAGAGTTTCGGCGTCTCTTGGAGATCGGGGCAAAATTCTAGTGTCACTTGAACATCGAGAAGAATTATGGTGTCACTCAGGCGTTGAGAAGAATTCTAGTGTTCCTCGGACGTCGGGCCGAATTCCGGCGTCACTCAGGCGTCGGGCATAACTCCGAGGTCGTTCAGAAGTTTGGCAAAACTCTGGCGTCGTTTGGAAGTTGGGTAAAATTCAGGCTTCGGAGTTCTGTCATACTTCTGAAATACCCTGGAGTTCTACCTGATGCCCAAGTAACGCCAGAGTTCTGCCCGACGCCGGAATTCTGCTCGACGCCCGAGTGACACCGGAATTCTGCCCGACACCCGAGGGACACCGGAATTCTTCTCAACGCTTGAGTGACGCCAGAATTCTTCTCGATGTTCAAGTGACACCAGAATTCCGCCCGATCTCCAAGAGACGCTGAAACTCTGCCCGACTCTATAACTAGATTTCAATCTAGAAGTGATTCATTGTAATATGAACGTCCTAAATTTCAAGGACGAGTCGGCCTCTTATATCTCAAACAACCTTAGTATAACTTTTTTAACTGTACGTGTCCCCGTGGTTTTTTTCCCTTTCCAGGGTTTTCCACGTAAAAATCCTAGTGTTCTTTTATCTTCTGTTTGTGTGCTGAATATCCGTACAACACTGAGACGTGAACTTTCGAACTCTATCATTGTGTATATTCTAGTCCGCAATAGTTTGGCGCCGTCTGTGGGAACGTAGTTCCCAATTGGGGGGCAATTATTGCTCCAATCTCAAAAGATCACTCTTATCAACTTTCTGACATTAGTTATTACTGCATCAATATCATAAGAATCATATGTGAACTGGGGGACAACTTTGACTTCAACCGTGGTAAAAAAAATCCTCCAATGCTTTCAATTCAAGATGATATTCCAGTAAAATCCCAGCAAATGCAAGGATACTTCTAATCAATTATAAGTTTCATAAAGTATCCTGCTGGACTTCTACTCCTTGGGTAAGGTCTTAATATCGACCTCAAAAAGGCGATAGATAATTATTAACCTTTGGTTCGGGATACACGTGGCGTTTGCCCTCTCCCATTCAAGGCAAAATCGATCCCAAGGGGATCTGATTCAACCTCTTCCATACAGGTTAATGTCGTCGAGCAGGGCTCTGACATACAACATTGGATAGGTCTCACATCCTCCGTGGATTCTCCCGGCCTCTTCCATACAAGTTAATGTTGTCAAGCAAAGGCTCCGACATACAACATCGGATAGGTCTTACATCCTTGGTGGATTCTCTCAACCTCTTCCATACAGGTTAACGTCGTCGAGCAAAAGCATCGACATACAACCTTGGATAGGTCTTACATCCTAAGTGGATTCTCTTGACCTCTTCCATACATGTTAACATTATCGAGTAAAGGCTCCGATATGCAACCTCAGATAGGTCTTACTTCCTTGGTGGATTCTCTCGACCTCTTTCATACAAGTTAACGTCGTCGAGCAAAGGCTCCAACATACAACCTCGGATATGTTTTACATCATAAGTGGATTCTCTCGACCTCTTCCATACAGGTTAATGTCATTGAGCAAAGGCTCCGACATACAACATTGGATAGGTCTTATATCCTTGGTTGATTCTCTCTACCTCTTCCACACATGTTAACATTGTCGAGCAAAGGCTCCAACATACAACTTCGGATAGGTCTTACATCCTTGGTGGATTCTCTCGACCTCTTCCACACATGTTAATATCATCGAGCAAAGTGATCTAATATACAACCTTGGATATGTCTCACATCCTTGGTGGATTCTCTTGACCTTTTCCACACGTACAGGTTAATGTCGTCGAGCAAAGGCTCCGACATACAACCTCAGATAGGTCTTACATCCTTTGTGGATTCTCTCAACATCTTCCATACAGGTTAACGTCATCGATCCAGCAGGGCTCTAACATACAACCTTGGATAGGTCTTAAATACTTGGTGGATTCTCTCGATCTTTTTTCATACATGTTAACGTCGTCGAGCAAAGGCTCTGACATACAACCTCGGATAGGTCTCACATCCTTTATAGATTCTCTCGACCTCTTCTATACAGGTTAACGTCGTCGAGCAAAGGCTCCGACATACAACCTCGGATAGGTTTTATATCCTTAGTGTATTCTCTCGTCCTCTTCCACATAGGTTAACGTCGTCGGGCAAAGGCTCCGTCATACAACCTCGGATAAGTCTTATATCTTTGGTGGATTCTCTCGACCTCTTCCATACAAGTTAATGTCGTCAAGCAAATGCTCTGATATATAACCTTGGATAGGCCTCACATTCTATGTGGATTCTCTCGACCTCTTCCATATAGGTTAATGTCGTCAAGCAAAGGCTCCGACATATAATCTCGGATAGGTCTCACATCCTTGGTGGATTCTTTCGACCACTTCCACACATGTTAACATCATCGAGCAAGGCTCTGACATACAACCTCGGATAGGTCTCACATTCTTGATAGATTCTCTCGACATCTACAAAGATTCTTTGCAGGCTAAAAATCCTCAAAAAAGTATATTATACAATATATAAAAATATGACTCAAATATACATAAACAATTCAACTTTCTTCAAAGGATAAATTTTCAACTTCATTCATATACAATATCATTGAAGTTACATTATAAAAATTGTACATCAAGTTCATTTTTGTAAGAATTTGAAATTAAAAGTACATCCGCATCATATGTATAAGTTATAATCATCAAACAACTTCAAAAAGGTCAAATGTCTTTGATAGATTCTATTGACCTCTTCTCTACTGCACATTGAAGCATCTCCTATAACTTCTTCTTCATAGAAGGATTATAATTTGATATTCATCAGACCCCAACTCAGTTAACACTATACATGTGTCGTCAAACGTCTAACATAGTATATTGCTTTGGCTCTTTGAATCAGGGATATCTGATGTCAGTAAACTTTCATATGTATGCTTATTATCTTTGTAGAATGCAATTGGACCATTATCATCATCAGCCCTTTGCTCGATGTTCTCCATTGGTCCTTTATTTCATATCAGTCATCACCGGCTTCTCACTCAAACTATTGATAATAACATGCCATCCAACTCTCTCCTTCAACTCTCCACTTGATTGTTGACTGCCAACGAACTTCAACTCGGTTGTTTATCACTGACGAACTTCTTCTCGAACAACATCAAAATTCTCCTAGTCTACTCGTCGCCAAGTTTTTACCCGACATCGGACTTCTACCGGTTGTCGGACTTTCGCTGGAAATCTATATGAAGATGGATTTCTTTCCATTGTTGGACTTCTACCAAACTCCGTTCTTCTGACATTCATCGTCAGACAACAGTCCTTTCGACCTATGTCGCCAGCCGACTACGGTCCTCCTGACTTACGTCGTCCGCCGACTACAGTCTTCTCGACCTCCTCACCCGCTGACTACAGTCCTCCTGACTTACGTCGCCCACCGACTACAGTCCTTCCGACCTCCGGCCCCAGCCGACTACGGTTCTCCTGACTTACATCACCCACCAACTACAGTCTTTCCGATCGACCTCCGTCGCCTGCCGACTATGGTCCTTCTAACTTACTTTGCCTGCCGACTATAGTCTTTCGGACCAAACGAACACGTCCATAGTGATTCTTTGTATTCCTACAATGTAATGTACTTCATAAGATGTACTTCAAGCCAAGGCCTTCCCCCAAGTAAGGACCTCATTTGTAATCAACTATTATAATAGTGGATTCATTCAAATTGGGCTAGGCCCCGTGATTTTCCCCCTTTTCAGGGGGTTTCCACGTAAAAATCTTGGTGTCTCATAAATCTAGTCCCTCTCTCTTATCTGATTGCATGCCGGATTTTTGTACAATGCTAAGACACTAAACTTTATATTTCTCTACCGCCGCGAATATTCCAGGACGCAACAATAATAAAGATTAAAATAAAAAATTTTACCATATTTATATGAAATTTTAATTAATCTTATTGGTAGAATAATAGTAAATTTTTTTGCAGTTAGGATTCAAACTCGTAACACACTAATTGAAAATAAGTTAGAAAATTTTAGTGGGCAAGATCTAAAAAAGATTTATGAATATTGAATATTTTTTTGAAATTTCCTTAGTTATATATGAGTTATTTAGATTTTAATGATAATTATCAAAGTTCAATTGAAACACAATGAGATGAAATTAAGAAATGAGGAAATTGAAAATGTGAAATCAAATCAAAATTAACAAAATTGAACTAACTCAATTCTCCTTGTTAAAAAAGTCATCATGAAAACTAAATTTAGTTGATATTATTTTTCTAAAATTTAATATATAACGTGAAACTAGGATTTTTTTTTGTTGTGTGATGAAAATAATTATCAACCATGAGTGGAGGTAATATTTGAGATGTTATTATTTATATGCC